CTTTTGGGGTCCTATGCCGTAACGTCTGCTGACATTTCCGGAGATGTTAGCAGCAGGGTAATCCGCGGAGGTCGGAGAGAGGGTAAGAGGGAGTAGATGAGGGTTGAAGATTGGCTGTTCCCCCTGAAGAAGACCGGGTGGCGGCTGTCGAAATCGGTTGGGGTGCCATTCCTGCTGGCGCTTTGCAGTCAAGTTACGTCCGTTGTGTACTTGTGCACTTGGACTCGTGTGATAATTGCATGATGTAATGATTGCATGTGGTCTACGTCTCACATCCATCTCGACAAGGACTCCCCTTCAGAAGTGCTGTTATGCTTGTACGAAGGAAGAAATAGTGCTGTTTGCTTTTTTAAAGTTTTTGGCTTTTCCTGTGTTTCTCTCCCTTAGGGTAAGTTGATAGCTTGTTTGGCTGGCATTGAGCACCGCAAAGAATAAGGAAATCATGCACCGGGGCATGCTATCCGACCAGATGAAGGACTTTTTGTTCCGACTGTCTACTGGGGCATGATAGCAGACCAGATGAAGAAATTTTCTTTCGGATTGTCTGTTTCGAAAGTTGGTTTATGATGAACCCATTTACGAAGAAGAAGAATATCATGCTGGGCCATCAGTCCTGGCATGAGAATGGACACAGGGCCTAGCTCCACTGCACAACATTGTCAACGCATTTGGACTGAAAATGGTCCCGATACGCTACGATTGTTTGATCAGTCCAAATTTGTGAGCAAAGTCCATAGAAAGATGCATCAGTGTTAGTACGATCAAGGCGCGTGTCAAAAGATGGAAGCATTCGTATTACGTAACTGTTTCGTGGACGAGGAGCCGACATACCCTCGATGCATTTCGACTGATGCTTCACGCAATCTCATCAGGGGAATCAAACCGAAAAAAAAACGGAATTTCTATTTGAAAAAAAAAACCTGAATCCACGGAGGAATTGCTCGTGTCAAGAGGCCTACTCCTTTTGCCTCCCGTCTTCACCCGAATAGAGCGCCCGGTCATTATTACCAACTGGGCCGCCTGGGTCACCTTGGTTGCCCGGGCGGCCTGGCCGGTCAAGGGCCAGGGAAGGTCCCTGAAAGAAAAGGAAAAAAAAAACAAAAAAAACAAAAATGAAAAAAACAAAAAATGAAAAAAAAAAACAAAAAAACTAGGCTACCAGCCGGGCCGCCCGGGTGCCGGGTGGCCAGCCCGTGCAAGGACCAAGGAAGGTCCCAGCGAAAAATAATAATAAATCCAAAAAATCCAAAAAAAAAAAAACTATGTTATGCAGAAAAATAAACTGAACAACTTTTGCCTCAGGGTCACATCCAAATTCTTCACCAAATTTAGAATAAAAAATAAAATTGAAAAATATTTCTTTTATTTTTGTTATTTTTATTTTTTTTGGCCCGGCCGGGAAAGTGACCCCGGGCCACTCTGGTAGCCTGGCAAAAAACCAAAAAATCCGAGGAAAAACTATGTTGTGCAGACAACAAATAAACTGAACAACTTTCGCCTCTGGGTCACACCAAAATTCTTTGCCAAATTGATTTATTTATTTTTTTTTTTTTTCAATTCATTTTTCGCCCCGGGCAAGTGGTCCTCGGCCACTGTGGTAACATAGATTATAGCTGAATTTCGGCCAACTCTCTGTCTAGGTGCAGCGATAATGACTGTGCGTTATGATTGGGGAAAGAATAGTAGCTTCTCTCCTTTGATACTTACCCAGTTCCTTGCCTAACTCGAATACAATGCATGTGCGTTATGATTGGGGAAAGAATAGTAGCTTCTCTCCTTTGATACTTACCCAGTTAAGAAGGAGCAAGCATCTCCTCTTGTCAACACAATGGTCGTATCATCGTATCTTCTGTCTTACCCCTATCGTCATCCCCTGAACATAGCGCATGTGTTGTAAACGAATACAACACATAGGTTGCTTTTTCGAGCAGCCGATACATTCCAAATTTCCAATACAAGTTATACAAATGTGTTCTTGAACTTCTTCTTGAATCATTGAGTTTTTTTGAAACTCGAATACAATGCATGTGCGTTGTGATCGGGGGAAGACGGTAGTACAGTTAAGTGAAGTCGATGATTGTCTGACAAGGCATTGTGTCACGTGCACCAGAGACCGTCCGACCCTCTTGGGAAGAAAAGCACATCAGAGCACAAGGAAGTCGCCTAGCCGGCAGAACATGACGAAATACAACGTGCCCTGGTAAAGAGCCGGCAGACGATCTCATCTGCAGCCCCTCTTCACGTCAGCGTGCCACCTTCCTCACCGTCGCGTTGGCAGAGCAAGAAAGTGCTTACGGTTCGTGGTTCGTGCAATCGCTAGCTGCCACTGGCATATCCTTCAGTCTACTGGGGTCCGTACATTCGAAAAAGCCCTCTGGCGTAACCCTGAGTGCCTTGAGACTGGGGTCTGTAGAAAACCCCTCCGGGGTAACCCACAGAGATGCCTGCGTGATATATC